GATGCTTTTGAATTGTGGTGCTGGAGGAGACTCTTGAGAGTCCCTGGACTGCAAGGAGGACAAACCTATCTATTCTGAAGGAAATCAATCCTGAGTGCTCACTGGAAGGACAGATCTTGAAGCTGAGGCTCCAGTACTTTAGCCATCTCATGAGAAGACAAGATTCCCTGGAAAAGACCTTGATGCTGGGAAAGTGCGAAGGCAAGAGGAGAAGGGGACAACAGAGGACGAGATGGTTGGACAGTGTCATTGAAGCCACCAACATGAATTTGACCCGACTCTGGGAGGCAGTGGAAGACAGGAAGGCCTGGCGTGCTCTGGTCCATGGGGTCACGAAGAGTTGGACACGACTTAACGACTAAACAACAACAAACCCTACTGAACACTGTGGAACATAACTTACAGACAATACCTAGTGATGTGCTTTCTGAATATCACTCTCCTTTTAACTTTTATTTTTCCTAGGCTTCTTTCTATCAAGGGAAGGGGGCATAATAGAGCAGGAATCATGATCTTTCTGTTTTGCTGACCTTGTAACAAAATTGCAGTCAAATAACATAAAAATCCTGTGGCACTCAATGACATAAAAAGTGTTGAATTGCTTCATTGTTAAAAATTTTTTTAACATTTTGTTTTAATTTGTAGTTGTTTTTTAAATGTATTCAGTCTAGTCTTTCCTGAATCAACACACCCCACTTTTTGAAAGGTAGGATGACATGGGCGGATGCTTAAAAAACAGAAAGAAAAAAAAAACAGACATTCAGCTCAGTTATAATAAAGCACCAAATACATTTATTAAAGACAGGTAAGGGTGAATGGAATACAAAGCAAATGATACAGAGCCACAGACAGAAACGGAAGTCAAAGGGTTCTGTTCTATATATGTGCTTGTAATTCTACCGTAGCTTAAAGAGGCAGCTGCCAGACATCTAATAAAATATTGGACCCTTTAGGGGTAGATCCCTCATTCACAAAAAGGCACCCATGGAAAGATTTCTTAGCTGAGGTAACCACTAGCCCACCTGTGCCCCAGTCATAGATGAGAAAAAGACCTCCTTTCAAATTAAAGTCTCTGCACCTCTAGACAACTGGGCAGGAGAAGGTCACCAAATATTTTCTGTTCTGTTTCATTATGTGAATAATCTAAACACCAGATTATGGCTTTCATTCCACAGAGTTTCAGGTAGCAGGTGACCTGCTTTGTACACAGAAAGACTAGCCAGGACCCAATCTCTGGTGGCTCCAGTTAAACTGATGAACCAGAGTGGCTTTTTCCTCATGAGTGGCCTCATTTTTGCCTCAGGCGGCCGGTTTTGGACATCAGGAGAAGGCGGCAAAAGGGTTACGATTAGACCTGTTATTATTGGGATAGGGAGAATTCATTTTATATTTCCCGCCCCCCTTCTTACTACTATATTACTGGACTTAAGCTAGCCAGCATTGGGATAGGGAGAATTCATTTTATATTTTCCCCCCTTCTTACTACTATATTACTGAACTTAAGCTAGCCAGCATAATATCTGGCTGCGGAGCCAAAGGTTGGGAGTTCGATTCCCCCTCTGGGAGAAGAACCAGCCTGGGTAGCCTTGGGCCAAAGCTGAACAGTCCCAGAGGTCCCCCACCAGCCTGGGTGGCCTTGGGCCAAAGCTGAACAATCCCAGAGCTCCCCCCAGAAGATGAGAATGGTCAACCACTTCTGAGTATTCTCTACCTGAAAAACCCTGAAAAGGGTGGCCATAAGTCAGAATTGACAGTATATCATCATCAATTACAGAATTTATACTACCAAGGTAAAGGTAAACGGTCCCCTAGACATTTTTTAGTCCAGTTGTGTCCAACTCTAGGGGGCGGTGCTCATCCTGTTTTTTCAAGCTGTAGAGCCAGCGCTTGTCTGAAGACTGTTTCTGTTGTCACGTGGCCAGCGTGACTAGGGAATGCCGTTTTTCCTTCCCACCGAGGTGGTACCTATTTATCTACTCACATTTACATGCTTTCAAACTGCCAGGTTGGCAAGGAGCTGGGACAAAATGATGGGAGCTCACTCCGTTGCGTAGATTCGATCTTACGACTGCTGGTCTTCTGACCCTGCAGCACAGGCTTCTGCGTGGGAGCATTCCTATCTTGATATGCCTAAATAAGTTGCCTGGCCTGAGACACTATGCCCTACGATTTGGACGGTGAGAAGCACCATTTCCTGTTCTGCCTCAGGCGGCACCATATTGAGGACCAGGTACCAACACCTGGGAACTTGGCAAATCTTAACCACTCAGAGAAGACAATACTGGGCAGGATGGACCAATGGTCGAACTTAATATAAGGCAATACATTTTGCGTGGGCACTTCTGGTTATCCTGGACTTGCACAGAAAGGGGCGGGAATCCTAATCAGAGTGTGGCACCTTCCATGCTAAAATATCAGCAGACCTGGAAGATCACAATAATATTTAGGAAACTGAAAAACACACCCCCGAGGGTGTAGAGCATCTCAAAATAGTCCAGCAACAGAGAAATTTGTCATGCTGAGTGAGAGAATGGATTGGTATACAGTAGATTGAACCCTGAACAGGAGAAATCCAGGATATCAAATTTTATTGCAGGTCCTGTTACATAAAATCTTAAGTAACAACCTTTACTAGCCTTCATTAACTCATCTGATTCCCCCTTTAAACCCCTTCATGTTGGCAACCCTCAATGCATCCAGTGGCAGCAAGATCCCTAAAAATATATCTAGTGCTGTATATAAAAGTATTTCTTTTTGCCATCCTGCCTCTTTTATCATTCATTTTATTGACAGCTCTGATTCTCCCTCTGTTATGACAGAGGAGTAAAGAATCTATCTTTCTCCACTATATATAATTGTATGCACCTCTCTCTTATCCATTGGTGCTGGCTGGATAGCTCAGCGGTTTA